GTCCCATGGCGACGAATCAACTCCCAACACCTTGTGGGTAGTTGTTTTGTAAATAGCTGACGTCGCATTGTAACGAAATGACGCCCAATTGGGGGTGTGTAGCGAGTGGGGGGCAGCAGTATTACGAGGCAGAATCTACCGATCACCGTATAGCCCACTCTACTGTATCCTTTGTCGATAAATACACGTATTGGCAATAGTACGCAGGCATCAACGACTGATAGACACAAGTTCGTATAGCTTGGGTAGCAGTGCAGCTGATGGCTCCGTAGAGACGCCGCGATAATCGCAAGGCTGACTTTCACATGCGTCGAATGCGCTGCAGAGGAATCCATCATTCCACGCTAGTAAATTCTGCCTTGCAAGCACTTATCGCTTTCGTCCTGCGATAACGCCGTGCAGACAGGTGTGCGCATCTATAATAAAGCGTAAAAGAGGTGCTGCAGCTTAACTCCTCGCCCACGAGAATGTTTAGTTGTAAAGAAGGAAGGCACATGAGTCAGGGGCTACGACAAGGCTTAAGAGAAATTGGTGAGCTGAATTTATAAAAAGAGAGCACGTGAGGTTAAAGACGCCAGTCTTTGCATGAGAGCAAATCAGCAGGAAACACGGTGCCATTAAGCGGGGCATTAAGTTGGTTTGGAAGATGAATTTTATAGGGCGGCACAGAGGCAACAATAACAGCCAGGGTGTTCCGTCAGTTGGCGGCGATTGCAGAGAGAAGGCGGACGATTGTGCCAGCAGCAAGAGGGGGTAGAGAAGAGAAAGAAGAAGACAGCGAGGAAAGTGAAGAAAGACAAGAAAGCAAAGAGAATGAAGAAAGCGGCGGTAAAGAAAGAGGAGAAGAGAAAGAGCAGGAAAGCGCGCTGCAGCCCATCCGGCGTCAGTTGGAGCGTTGGCAGAACAGGTGCCCAGTACATGCAGTACAGGGCCAGCCAGCAGGGCATGTATTGGCCGAATGCTGGGCAGAAACCAGCGCGCAGGTGCAACAGGCAAAGCAAGGATTGGAGCGGCATTTAGGGAGGGTAGCCAGGTCAGGTTGTTTTAAGTGCAGAATGCGGCGAGGGATTTGCGCCGCATGGGTTTAAAGCAACCGGATAGTAAGCGAAGTCCAGAAAATCGCAAGAGAATACTAGTAGAGGGGCGTTACAAGAGCAGCGTTAATAGGGATTTCATACATAGTAGATAGTATTAGCGATTTATGGGTGAATCGGTTGGAAAGAGAGGGCATACATAGAGTATGAGATAGGGATTTTCGAGAGTTAGGTATATATTTAAAGGCACGGCGGGTTATAGAGGGGGTGTCATAAGTCAAGTCCGGCTTCGGCCTGGGAAGATAGACGGTACTATTACCGGATGTCGCGGTCCATTACTTATTCTTAAAGTGCATGACGTGGCTACGTCATGCAGGGCGAGGTTAGACTCGGTAAGCGGGAGCGAGGCAGCGCGAGTGTCGGCGAGGGTGGAGGAGCTCGCGGGCAACTGGGATAAAGATAAAGATGAAGATAACGGGGAGCGCTTACGTTTGTGGCCCGCTCCAAGCCCTGCAACATCGCGCGCGCCTGCGTAACATCGCGACAACTTCCGCACTCGTCTTGCTCTTCAATATGGACTGCGTCCACGCCTGGCTTCATTCTTTAGACCACCCCGACACCTTAGCCGCGGCCGCTTCACTACTGTCCCCGCCCAAGTCGCTGAAACGAGCATGTTCCGCGTCTCTAGGCACGCGCGGGCGCAAGCGCAGGCTCGCTTCCGGTTCCCCGCCTGGCGTGAAGTCACTCCGTCTCCGGCCGAGTCGCGCGACACGAGCTCTACCAAGACCAGCGGGGGCAATAAGCGTGTTAAACGCGCCAACCTAGACTATACAACTCCGGCTGTCTACTTGGAGAACCTATACCAGGACGGTAGAGGGCCAGATGGAATCGCCTAGGTTAGGGCAGCGAAGACAGAAAAGGTCCCGGCATCGATCCGTAAGTTAGTCGAACGCTTAACCGATAAATAAATCTATCGGAACTGTATTTCGGGTGGTATTGAGTCGGATAGTTAGGAGCTTTCTATCGGAATAGGCGATATCATAACCCCTACTTTCACTGCGACGGACAATATAGTTAAAGGAGAAGCGTAAGCGAAGGTTAAGCTCAAATCGGTCGAGGAGATTTTCCTTAAGGTGGAGACTCCTTTCAGGAGCTCAGGGCTAAGAATAATAAGTATAAGGCAATCGAAGCCGTGTTTACTACTGACCCGGACCCTGTAATTTTTCCAGTAGACTATCCCACTAAGAGCGTCGACCGCGGGTTCCTCCCCACCCTTATAGGTCACCCGATCTAAATTGTTAAGATCGATTTCATCCTACAGTTCTATAATCCCGAGGGTATCCGGCCCTTAGTAGAGCGCTTTCCTTAAATCCGCCTCTCACCGTTTAAAGACGCGGATATAAGACATTACTTTTTAACTACGATCCTAGAAGCCAAGCCGACGTCTGGCGAAATTGGCGAAGCTATATACTAGTTTAGCGTCACGACCGTGGCTCGGCAGGCGAGGCTACAGGGCCTAAACCGTTAAGGCAATATCCCATCGCTGTTCTTTAAAACTGTACCGATTATAGGCTGGATTGTTTATACATATATCTAGTACCTACATGTTGCGTATCGGCAGAGCGACGGATCTATAATATATATATCCGTCTCTTTCTCTTATTTTTAGTTAATTATCTTGGCTAATCATGGCGGATAGAGACTCCTCGGTCCCTTCTATAGTAGCGACACGTACTCTTACTATAGCACCTTTATACTTCTAGCCGTGATAAGGGCTGTGAAGCAACGGGCGGATGAGGTAGTCTGGTCGGAGCTGGATACTTTGGTTAAAGCTCTTATAAAGCTGGAGAAATAGGATTGTAAAAGCTATTAATATCTTGGGAAGGACGTGGCATTTTCCCACTTAAGTATTTCCTGTGGCTGGCGGGAACGGTAAGCGACAAGCTTACCTCTCCCTTCGGTTTACGCTTGGTTGTAGATTGGTCTCATTCTACTAGAAGGATCAGCTTTTCCCTGCTGCTATATACAGCCCACTTCTACTTTTTGCCTCGCAGCTCAGTTTTGCCAACACCGTCGCGTCCAAAATTCATAGCCTAGCCTGCCACTACATCTCAAGAAGACTAAATTCAAGGACCAAGATACGCGGGCAGCCTAGGGTGAGGCCGCTCCTTCTCATCGACATCGAAGATACAATTATTTCCCAAATAGCTTCAGCGCACGCACTTAGCCCATTATTATATAAATCAGTAACTAAGCTCTACGTTCCTTAGGTCGACATCTTTTAGCATATACGTCCGCACGCCAGCTCTACCGTCCCTAAGGCACCCTCTCGGCTCCGCGCTCGCTGGGCCGACGTCGCTCCCAGCAAGCTCTAGCTAAACTAAGAAGCTCCCAATCACAGCAACGCTGCGCGACATAATCCAGATTAAGGCAATTTTCATGCCAACTCAGACAAACCTAAAGCACACCAGGTCACTCCACTGCTATCGCTACTGTTTCCGCACCAGGCGTCGCACACCCACTAGCCATCGATCTTTCCCCGCTCACGCCTCCCCTGGCATAGCACTCCCCCACACCCACCATATCAGTATCTGCGTCCCCGCAGTCGTTCTAGACCTTACCGTACTTATAGCCCGCTGCGCCGGGTCCCGTAATACTATAGTAGTATACACGTTTAGGCAATGTCGACGCAAGTAGCGCGCTACTACCACATAGGAGTAGGACTACGGCTATATCGACTATGTCGGTAGAATTCGGGTTGTGTATACGCTCGCTACGTCTAACTCTATCTCCTACAGGTAGTAGAAGAGATCGTGCCGCCGTACACTGCCCTTAGCGTCTACCGCCAGCCTACCATCCCCGGGAGCGGCTTACCATGTCTAGGCCCAAGGATAGGGCACAGAGCGGCGGGTCGCACGGCTTAAGCGAGCGCCCTAGCAGCAAACTATAAGAAAACTAACTTGCGCGTACAAGAGGGCCGTATACAGGTTTACTTAGGGCCGCATAGGGCGAGCCTCCGCCTACTACACGTCTACCTCGCCATGCACACCATTATATTCCTAGTCACTTGTCTCCTCTTATCTAAGTTCTATCTCGTCCATATACTCTTCCAAGGCCTCCTCGAACCGCTGCGCTTCCTCCTCTTCATTTTCACGGGCGTTTTCCAAGGCCTCTTCTAACCGTTGCGCTTCCTCCTCGGCCCCTTCGCGAGAATTCTCCATAACTTCCTTATTCCACGCGTTAATTTCCTCTTCTATTTTATCTGGATCCCACGGCCCCTGCGCGGTTGTGGTTGCTTCTATGCTTGCTCCCATACTATGAGAGAGGCGGATACGTTCCTTAGTTGTTTGGTCAACCTTTTCCCTCCAGAAAGTTTCGTTTGCGGGACGAAGCTTCGTGTCGTAAAATTTCCATAGGTCTGGAAGCACGGACACACGAAAACTACAGTAGCGTTTAACTTCTGCTGGAATCGGGCGCCGGTATAGGAATGAAACGTGTTGTAGAGAGGTTTGGTGGTTCTGCCATGAAGATCTTATGGCAGTGGGGATCGTGCTGTCCTCGGTACATTTAACCAGCGAGGCAAGCCATTTCTTGGAGTATTTCCGCGTTGCAAGCTCCATGAGCTGAACATCCTGGACCCTGGCGAGAGAAACCTGGTAGTGGGCGAATAAGGCATCTGAGTCTTTGCGCATATCGAAAAA